TTTTTTTTAACGGCTCAATATTTGAATATTTATTTAAAATATTTAAGTTGTTCAATATTAAATTTTCTTAATTCTTCAGTTGCATTACGCAATTATAAATAATCCAACATAATACAGGACTAATTGCATATATATGTTAATATTAATGTCTATCCTTAACAAAATGTTTAAAAATGTAATACGAATAAATCGGACAATTATGTATGTAACACACGAAGATGAAGCGACACGTATGTAATATTTTATAAAAAACCACTGAAGAGGACTTGATGTAAAGCCGAAACAATCGTAGCATTAATGTAATTTTTTATATAAATATAACGCGGATTAGCACAAAGACCTTGCTTGACTCCTGGCCCATTATAATTATTTATTTTAAATTTTAATTCTCGGAACCTATAAAATATATTGTTCAATTTAAAATAATTTTTGTGATATTTAATTGGAGGCGTGTTATAAGGATTGAAGAAATGAAATATAATTCGTGAGCTAAATATGACTTTATTCGTGTCCGTCGCGAGACATCAGATCCTACGGCCGATTTCTCAAAACCGACGAAGTCGACGACTGTTGTCGCAAAAATCTGACGTTGACCGATAACGTTTCGGCACGTCACCGGCTCATGTCCGTCAACCCGAGTGAAAGAGCAAACAATACATGAATATATCAATATCACATGCATATAAATGTCATTAATATCAACAATATAAGCATGACGGAGCCGTTTAAACGTTCATCTATATCCCAATGGTCTACACTGTATCAAAGGTTTGATATCCTTTTTTTCCGAAACGGCTGCAGTGAAAAAATCGGGATTTGCGTGATTAATTAGTGACTAAACAGGAGATTTTCTATAGACAAACTTGATATATAATACATTTTTAAGTTCACACAAAATCTTCAAATAAAACGAGAGATTTTATATTGATACTCTTCAGACATTTCATGAACATCTGTTCATATCTGCGACTATGTCTGATACGATTGATTTGTTTTTATAGACGACTGTAGTAAGATGCATGAATCACCATGTTCGGTGTAACGTCTTTCACAGATGCACAACCTAGAAGAAACGTTTGTTTTAAAAGTATTTTATTAAATTAATAAGATACGTGGACATACGAAAATTAACTTACCAGTTAATGCGAATGCTAGATCAATTTCTTTTCTCATGAGTTCAAGAATCTCGCTAGCACCTTTCTCACCATCATATACCAAGCCCCATAACATCGGTCTGCCAAAGAATACCTGAAAAAGAACATAATCAATTTAATTTGGATAAAAACGTACAAGTGAAAAATTTATATAATAGTAAGAGAATTATTATTGAACAATAATAAATTGAACAAAACTATTCACATATATCTATAATAATTTATTATATATATACATACATATATATAAACATAAAAATATACAGTGTAACTTAAATACCACCCACTAATAATATAGTATCATTTCTTATGAAAACATTGTGAGTAAAAAAATCCTAAACAATTTTTTTCTATAATGATGAATAAAGTGATCACTATTACAGTAATTACTGCTTCATTGAGCAATTATATAGAAAAATGGTTTAGAAATTTTCGAACTCGTGTCACTCATCTACGTTTAATACATGTATTTTCATATACTATATATATATTTATATATATAGTATATGTATAGTATATATATATAGTATATATAATTAGTTTTTAAATGATTTAGAAAATAAATTCTCGTTGCCTAGCCACTTGAGATATGAATTCAGAGAGATATTCAATATATTTTTTCTATATAATATTAATAATATGTACATCGCTGAATTCATATTTGTTCTGTACATTCAATACATTTTCTATATAATATTAATAATATGTATATCTCTGAATTCATACCTCAAGTGGCTTGGCAACGAGAATTTATTTCTTAAATCATTTAAAAACTAATTTTGCCTATAATATTTAATGAAGTAATAATTACTGCAGTAGTGATCACTTTATTTAGCACTGTAGAAAAAAATGGTTCAGAATTTTTCGACTAAACAAGGTTTTTAACAAGGAATAATGCTATGTAATTAGTGGACAGTATTTAAATTACATTCTGTATATATATGTAATATATTGTGCGCGCACGCAGTGTGTGTGTGTGTGTGTGTGTGTTCGACAAATTCATACCATTTTTGCACCCAACGCCAAGGCTTTGAATACATCGATACCTTGCGTCACTCCACCGTCCATATAAATTTCGACTTTATCTCCTACAGCTTTACTTATTTCAGGTAAAACTTCAATCTATGAATATAATTATTTCAATAATTCACATACTGTATATCCTTTTCCAAATCTAAATTGTCTAATAATTTCTAATATCGGAATCTTTTTAAGCAAGAAATGAACCAACCGTTGCTGGAACACTATCTATCTGACGCGCACCGTGATTTGATACTATGATACCGTCGATCTCATTTTCTACAGCTAGACGTGCATCCTCTACCGTTAGTACTCCTTTAAGAATTACCGGGAGCGTTGTAGTTCTACAACAATTTGATTTAAATATTTGTATGTTTGCCTTTGCTCGACGCAGTACAATAAAAGATCTAATAATGCTCCAAAATGTTAAGATAAGAAGAAAGTTCACAAACGGTGATACCTTTTAAGCCACTTTACATCATCCCAAGAGAGGGATGCATCGAACAGTGCAGAAACATATTCATTAAGGCCAGAGCCAGTTTTTGCGGAATTTATTCGCTGCGATAAATCACCTTGGAAATTTGCAAATCTAAAACAACATATATTATGAATTTCATTTAAATTAAAAAATCTATTATCAAAAATCTATATCTAGTTATTGACTATTTCATTTTATTTATTATCTGTTATTACTTATTTTAAATTTATCAAGGCTAATTAATTTTTTATATTTAGAATTCTAAGCACAACATTTTCCTACAAATGCTGTCGTTTCTTGTTTTAATTTGTATTCTTTAAAATTTTAATGGCAATTCACTAACTCGTGTCATTCATCTATACATTTAATACATGTATTTTCATATACTATATATAATATTTGTTCTATACATTCAATATATTTCCTATATAATATCAATAATATGTATATCTTCGAATTCATACCGCAAGTGGCTAGGCAATGAGAATTTATTTCTCAAATCGGCGCGTCTGTCACCAAAAAACGGCGCGTCGATGGTGAGAACCAGCGCTTTGAAACCAGCACGTTCGGCACGTCTTATCAAATTTAAGGTAACATTTCTGTCATTATAAATATAGAGCTGGAACCACTTTATACCCTTCGGCGCAGCTTCCGCCACTTCCTCTATACTACTCGTGGATATCGTCGAAAGAATAAAGATCGTTCCCGCTGCTTGAGCAGCTGCAAAAATGCAAGCGACAAAAAAACATTAAATAAAAGAAGTTGAACAATAATATGTCTATAAATTGGACGAAACGAATATTTTTATTTTACTCACATATGTAAAATAAAATACATATAAATAAACTCCAATTAACTTAATTGATTAATTTATACAGTCAATAGAATTGCTTAAAGCAAATTTTCTAATTGTATAATTCATTGTCCTTAATCTAATATATTACATATATTTCTTTTCCATATATTAAGCTATAAAATATTAATAGTTCTATCAACTATTAATAAAATAACACGCGCACATGCATAGTGTATTACTGTATCGGTATTATATTTCGTCAAGACGCGCCAGTTACATTATATTTGGTATACATATATTTTATATGTACGACTTTAAATTGATAAAAAAAACAAATGTAAAAGTTAATCGACAATTACACTTTTATTTTTAAACTTTTATCTTTTAGCGAAAGATAACAGTGTAAAATAATGACGCGATGAGAACAATATACAATGCGAAAAAATCATACAGTTGTTACATTCATAGTATCTTTCGCAAAAAGATCTGCTACAAGTGTTATGAATAACACAGATAATGACAGTTCACGCGTGTTGCAGAAACAGGTCGCGTGATGTAATCGTACAGGTGAAATCAAGGTTTGCAAACTATAATATAATACTAATATTAGTCAGCTGGGTAATGAACGCAATAGCACACACAACGGTATAACTGACACAATAATTATTTCAATAGCTGAAAATACAGAACGATCGCAAATTATCAGAAACTAAACCAAGCTAAAATATGCCAAAATAAATCAAATTGACAAGATCGTAAGATTTAACCGAGATTATCTCTTCGACATTTGATACTATAAATAATTTTTAAATAAACGCGATAAACTTGAATTGCAGATTAGATTTTTCGGTTTGGATCCACCCTTGAGCCTCTTCGAGGATGATTTCGATTGAATTTTGATTAATTTAGTCAAAGATTATATTAAAATATATGGTATTCGTATTTTAATTGTTAATTAACGTAAACAGAATTATTGATTTTTTATTGCTTGATAAATAAAAAGAAACTCAGGGATTAGGAACAACAAATTGTATACAATTAGAAATTTTGTGTAAGCAATTCCTAGTTATAAATTAATCGCCAATTATGTAAATCAATGATTATGTAAATGAATGTAAATTAATTTTGAATAACAATGATAAAACTTTAATTAACTTAGTCAAAGATTATATATTAATTAATATATGTATTCGTATTTTAATTGTTAATTAAACAGAATTATTAATTTTTTATTGCTTGATACATAAAAAAATTCAGAGATTAGGAATAACAAATTGTATACAGTTAGAAATTTTATGCAAGCAATTCCTAGTCATAAATCAAACGCCAATTATGTAAATCAATGATTAATTTTTAATAACAATTATAAAATTATTAATTCTTTCTTGAAGTATAAAAAGAAAGACAAATAGAATAAATGACAATTACAATCGAGTTATAAATATAT